GCAGAGGTCAGAGGACAACTTGTGGGAATTGCTTCTCTCATTCCACCATATGGCTCCTAGGGGATGAGACTCAGATGTCAGGCATAGTGACAAGTACCTTTACCCACTGCACCATCTTGCCGCCCTCTCCAAGCCTTCTATCCTCACTCCTGGGATTACACCTTGAGAGTCGATCCTTCTCTTCAAGGTGACCTCTTACTCATTTCTCAATCCATATCTCATTTCCTCTTCTTGTTTGTTTAGATTCAGTTTATTTTTATTTTATATTTATTTATTATGTATGTGTGATGTGTGGGCATGGGGGGGGGGCGCGCCCTCAGAAGCGAGAAAGTGCCTGACTCCCCTGGATCTGGAGTTATAGAAGTTTGTGAGCCTCCAGATGTGGGTGCTGAACTCAAATCCTCTGCAAGAGCTCTTAGCTGCTGGGCCATCTTTCCAGGCCGGCCAGACCTTATTGCTCCGCCTTAAACTACCCCTACCAAAGCAAAAAAAACAGAATCCAGGCTGCCCCAGCCCCAGCCTGGGTCTGTGTGAAACCGCATCCTCAGCTTAGTTTTCATGTGCTATGTGCTGGGTCCCTCACCGATGTCGCCAGTAGCTTTGCTTATGGTCTTCATATTCAGGGATGTTCATTTCATCCTCCTCCCATGTAGACTGGTCATAAGGCAAGTCCTTCCATTTCACAAGATAGTGGTAATTCCCCTTTTTGTCCATACTGTTGAGCAGAAGGCCAAGAAGAGAAGCAAGAGGGAAAAATAGAATGGATCACACAATGCATGAAGTCCTGATAAATAAAGCGTCAACAAACACAGCATCTGCTACCTTAGCCTTTTCGAGATGGTATGGAAAAGTCAAGCATCACACAACACCCCTGAGAGCCCACAGTATCACTCGCTTACCCAGACAGGATACGACACTCAGCATGGATAGAGGCACTAGGCTGAGCAGCAAGTGAACCGATAAATACCCCATCTCACCACTCACACTTCGGTGTAACTGAGTTAGCGCTAGGCAGTGGTAAAAGCTATACTGAAAACACTCATCTGGATAACCTGTTTCTCAGTTTGTTTTCATGTCCCATCCCCATCCCTATGCTACCAGAAACAAATGAAGAACCCTGGGCTGTGCCGTGCTTTCCTCCGGGTTTCTCAAGTCCCCCAGAAGAGCAAGGCCAGAAGCACTGGAACTGCAGAAACAGGTGCCAAACCTCAGCTGATCATTTGATTTATGCAGGGCCATAGCCACAGTAAGAGCAGTGTCATAGTCCAGAGGGGCCTTTCCACGGACCAACGACTCACCTGTGATTGATGATACGGTGGACAGTCATCCACTCTGGCTTGATACCAAAACGGTAGTACTTCTCCTCCATCTCAGCATAGTGAGGGTCCTTCACCTTGCGCTTGTCACTTTTCCCATCATCCTCACCAGAGCCATAGTCCAGGGGTGGGGGCTCATCCATGTCATTTTTCCGTTGGTAGTTACGATACATTACCAAGTGGAAGATTTCCAGCTGACAGAGTAGAGAGGGAGAGAGAAGAGATAGCATTCAAATCCAAAGAGACAAAGGGCAGCAAAGAAGAGGCTAGCCCTGTGAGTTGTAGAGAAGGGATCTTTGAAAGTGAGTGGATAGGCCGGGCAGTGGTGGCGCACGCCTTTAGTCCCAGTACTCAGGAGGCAGAGGCAGACCGACCTATGTGAGTTTGAGGCCATCCTGGTCTCCAGAGCGAGTGCCAGGACAGGCTCCAAAGCTACACAGAGAAACCCTTTCTCGAAAAAAAAAAAAAAAAAAAAAAACAAAAACAAAGAAAGCAAAGTGAGTGAATAAAAAACCAAATAATAATAATAATAAAAACAACAGTGAAAAATAAACAAAACTGATAGGACAGAGTTAGAAGACCCGGCCTGGGAGAGCAGTTAAGGAGTGTAAGAGGCAAGACGAGAGGTGGTTAAGACAGTGGAGATAGATAAAGAATAAAAAGGTAGACGGGGGTAAGAGAAAACTAACAGAAATGAAGTGAGAACCACAGGTAGAAACTGAAGTAGGAAGAATGTGAGGCCTGAGGCCTAGAATGAGGGGGAAAAGGAGACAGATGCCCAGAGAACAGAGGCAGGAGAGAGCAAGTGACTGAGAGCAGGGTCCTAGCGGGTAGGAAAAGCAACAGCCTTTGTACCTGAAGCTCCTTGGCCCAGGAGCAGTGCCAGTAGGACAGTCCCACCCACTTGACAAAGAACTCTCTCTCTGATCTGCCTTGAAGAGGACGAGGGGGTGGGACATCTGGATTCCCGTCTGCCTGTTGGGGTGCTGGCACTGCCACAGGTGGTTCCCCCCATCGCCAATGCAAGATCTTCTGAACACGGCCCTTTAGCACAGGACACTTCAGGATGGATACATAAGGGAAAGAGGAAGGAAAGAGGCAAAGAGATCCCTTGTTAGGTAGGACAAAGATACAACAAAGGGTGGGGATTAAGAAAGGAAGAGCTGGGCCTTTGGGCCCCAGAACGGGTGAGAGCTGGGGCTGGATGGTGAGTGCTGTGAGGCCGGGGTCCACTTACTGTGCATCGTGGGCACAGCCATTCACCGTTGGGGATGTCAGGCAGTGGGGGGTTCAGACAGTGGATGTGGTAGGAGGAGATGCAAGCATCACAGCAAAGGAGCTCCCCACCATCCTTGCACACTCGGCAATACTCCATGTGATCATCCTCTTCCTCCTTCTCGCCTTCCTCCCCCTCCTCCTCATACTCTTCCTCTTCTTCCTTGGCCTCCCACTGTACCCCTTCCTTCTCCTGGGGGCCAAGAGCAGAAAGAGAGAGAGAAGAAGATAAGGAGAGACTGGAAAATTGAGGCAAAGCCAAGATGACTGAGCCCCAGCAGTGCACAGAACTCTCATGGGACCTACTAAACAGGGTATCCCCATTTCCCAAAGACACTGACTCTGGGGACAACGGGCTCAGTGAAAGGACCCAACTAAGGTTCAGGAATCTTGTGTAGCTACTGCCCAGAAGCCCAGGAGACCATAAGAGAAGGCAAGAAGAAGAGAGATAGGTGGGACCCCAAGGGCACCAGGTACTCACACAGTGGGGGCAGCTCCATTTGCCCTCAGGAGCCCGGTCAAGCTCAGGGTCAAGGCAGACGAGGTGGTAGGCACGAGGGCAGGTGTCGCACAGAATAATTTCCCCACCCTGCTGGCACACCTCACAGTAATCCTGGTGATCCGTCTCGTAGCCATCAACCTCCTCCTCCCCGGCCACTGCAGGACAGCCCAGGACTGTCATATACCCCAGCCAAGGCAAAGGGCACAGAAAAAGAAAGAAGGGGGTTCAGGGAAGACAGAGGGAAGGGTTGAACAGAGAAGTCAAAATCTCAAGTAAGAAAGACAGCAAAGGAAGAAGAGGGCAGACAGAGGCTCACACATGGCAGCCTTACCCTTCTTCTTTTTCCTTCCTGGCCGGCCTCGCTTCAGTTTCTTGGCACGGACAGGGCCATCAGGCCGGCCTGAGGCACTATGGATGCTACCACTGTCCAGGTCTGACTCCTCAGCTTCTGGATCGGGGCCCTCGTCACCCTGAAGGACATACTGCCCATAGCCCCATTGACATCAGTGAGGCATACCTGACTCTACCCACCACCCTGCTCCATACCTAGGCTCTACGTTCCCCGCCCAGCTTCCCTCATGGACTATCTATGGGTTTCAGCCCTTGACAGCCAGATGTTTAGCACACAGGGAAGAGCCACTCACCGAGCCTGCCTTCTTCCTCTTTCCACTCAGCAGCCCCAGCTTGATTTTGAGTGGTGCCATCTTCTTTCCTCGAAGTTTCTTGCGTCCATCAGGCACTC